CACTGTACTGAGTTCACGCAGCTGTTTGAGGTAACCTCCGGATGCTGAGAACTAGGAGAACCCATTCATCTCCTAAGACCCAGATCAAGAGTGACTCCCCGCAAAGAGGCCTCCCATGTTACTGGCACACTGTCCCACCTTCACCCCATTCTCATGCATCTAGCCTGTTCCTTGTGTCCGTGACTGTTTCCACAGTCCCCCTTGTATCTGAAGTGCCTACTACAAAGTCTGGTATATAGATGGAGCTCAGTAAACAGCTGTTGAATGTATTATAGGGGGAGTAAGTACATGTGGAGGTATTTCCACTGAAAATGCTATATTCGGAGAGAAATAAGACTCCTATCCAAAATCGTGATTTTCACATTACCGTAATTTCTGTGAACAAGACTAATTTTAACTGGCACATACTAGCCCTTACTCTTGTGATTTTTTTTTTTTTTAAAGATTTTATTTATTTGAGACACAGAGAGTGAGAACACCGTGGGGAGGAGGGTCAGAGGGAGAGGGAGATGCAGATTCCCCACTGAGCAGGGAGCCTGATGCGGGGCTCAATCCCAGGATCCAGAGATCATGACCTGAGCCTAAGGCAGAGGCTTAACTGACTGAGCCATTCAGGAGCCCTTCTGATTATTTCACATACATTCTATCATTTATGTTTTTTGACAATCTTTGCGGGTTTCTCTTTCCAATATTATCCCTACTTTAGAGATGAGGAAACCAGGATCAGAGAGATGAAGAGTCCTGCCAAGGCCTACATGGCCATTAGCAGAAGGGCAGGCTCGAACACAGCCTGGCCCGGCTCAGAGGCCAGTGATTAGCGATCACACAGTACAGCATCTCCCCCTTGATAAGGTTCTCCCCTCAATGAAAACCCTCACTGCTAATTCTTCGATCAATTATGTATTTAGCTCATTTAGAAATAGAAAAGACATCTCTTCCCCTGGATCCTAATAATAATTAACTAATAATAATAATGAGAAATGCTCCTAAATCTGAGATTTGCAAAGAGAGAAAGCTTGCTCTCCTTCCCCAAACCAGAAGAGGATGAATGTGAGAATTCTACTTCCTTTCCTAACTTTACACACAATTTACCTAATAAATAGAGAAAGATCCAAATTCTCCCGATGGATATTTATTGATGAATAGCCCCTTTCCTCACCAAAAGGCTCTGAAGATGCTTGTAACAAAAGTCTTACACATGCTCAGAGTCGGAAGAGAAAAACCAAGAGTTGGGACTGTGGAAAATACCGAGGCCCTGAGCGCCAACAGCAGGGGTGGTGACCATGTCCCATGTCACCTGTGGAATCCCAGTGTTGGTGAAGGGTTCCATCCTAAGAAACTACTCAGATCTTTACCTGTGCTTTAAATCAAGTTACCATTAAGTTAAATTGCCACAAAGTCTTAGAAACCTAAGAAAAATACTGTTAGAAAGGAAAATTATGGTCATAAAGTTGGTCATGAAATGATAGGTATTATCTAAGAATAAAAAAGGATCTAAAAAAGCCCAAGTATCATTATTAGACTTGACAAGGGCATGGGACAATAAATGTCCAGGTTTATGCTTCCGTAATACCCATCTAACTGGTAATGGATACTTCAGAAACAAAATGGTCTCTAAAACTGGAACCTTTTCTTTGCCTTTCCTTTCAGAGCTAGCACATAACCATGTTCTACTTGCTGCAGGGCATAAAAACACCAAAATGTTTCAAATGCAGATAGTACTGCATAGAAGTATACTTTCTTAGCTTTTTTCCCTTGGACTTGGAGACATTTTAGTTACTCTAGTGCTAAAGTTCTCTCTGCTTTAATGGTATTTTTAATGCACCAAATCAAATTACTTGTAGAACTTGTCATACTTCTGCTGCTGAATAATGATGGAATGAAGCCACAGAACCCAGGACAGACCTGGGGAGCTGTCCCCCCCACATCATACTCGGATATTCCCACCAGAGGTGAAGGCATCTCCCCCCTGCTCTGGGGTGGGGGGTGTCTCTGGTCCGGTTGGCTTTGCCCAGTTCCCAAGCTCACCTCTTTGGTGCCTGATCTGGAATTCTAACCAGCTGTAGTCACCCTGGGTGGGGGGGGGAAGATGGGAAAATGAGGAATTGTAGGACAGCAAGGGACAGCCACGGGCCACAAGAAAAAACTCTTTTGGCCTCTCAAGTAGAAAGACAGATCATGGAGCACAGACAGAGGGGAACATCTGTTAGTATTTGCTTCAGGACCCCCAGTACCGAGCACAGGGCAGGACAGAGAGAGAAGGCTGTAAGGACCTTTCTCTGTTGGACTGAACTAAGGTTTGGAAGACCTAAGCTACCAGCTGGGGGCTTTGGGGACTCAATATTCTCCAAAAGATGACACGTGGCTTCCCTTTTACATATACAGGGTTCTTACAAGATGACACTGAGGTATCTGTGTGTTTGCTGATGAAATACAATCACTGAACACCAATCCCATGGCCAATTTCCAGGGCAAAGGAATGGTGGCTGTGAATGTGGCCCTGCGGCTCTCCTTCCTGCCTGCTGCCCTGGCCCCTTCCTTCTGGCACCTTCTGTGAGTCCCATTCTCCTATCATTAGCTCTGGAGTCTTCCTCGTCTCCCTCTCAGGCACTCAAACCCACTCGTAACAGGGTGACCCAATGTATGTTGAGGAAGTTCTTTTCTCCCGGCCGTGTGACACTGGGCAGCCCCTCCCAAGCTAAGGTCTGGTGGTGAGGAGCCCCTCACAGAGCTCCCTTTATTCCTCAGCTTGAGCTAAATAAAGCACCAGGCAAAGGCCTTCTGCCATTATTCCTGTTTAAAGCCAGTGCTGACTGGCGGCTCCTGATCTCACCAGCCTGCCATCCCCTGAGGTCCTAAGGGGGTGGATTATCAGGATGGACTCCCAAGTATGGTCTGTTCCAGTTTTGAAAAGGCCAGGTCTGTTTTTCTTAGAAACTGGAAGGTCTATCCATTCAGGTTCCATTTTTCTGGGACTGAGAGACTCTGTCTCAATTTTATAGCTTCTCCTTTTTTTACCAAATGACAGGTACAACTTTTCCAGATCAAGAGTTTGTAGGAGGGCACTCAGCACGCAGTGGTGCTGGTGTCGAGCACTGTTACACTTTACTACCCTGTGGATGGGTCATGCAAGGTTGCCTGCTGGCTTTATTAACCACTGTGCAAAAATAAAACTAGTTATGAGCTAATCTGAATGAGCCCAACAAATATTACTGATCTTCATTAAAAAATGGCCTTTTATTTCTCCGAGAGCCTGAGGTGACAGGAATTATTGGCAGATTGGAGAATAACTATTATTAAATAGGACTGTGTTTGCCTTCTCTTTCTCTTCATTTACATGGATGATGTCAACCCTTTCACACAATACTGATGCATGGCCCCTTGTCATGGAGATAAATACAAGGGAACGATTCCTCTAATGAGCTGATGACGAGCTCCGAGTGGCCCCACAAGCCAGGCAAGGCCCCAGACAACGGGTCTATTCTCTCATGTGGGAAAGAAGCTACTTCTCGAAGACTAAATTCTAACACTAAGATAATTATCTGTGAGGAGGCCCTCCAAAATTGAATCCGTTCATATCTAATAATCCCAACTGTAGATGTAACTATTTAGGAGAATATTTTAAAATCAGCATTTCTGGGTAGATTAACAGAAAGAGCTAATGTTGCTTAAAACTAGTCTGTTTCACGGGAGCCTTTGTTTACGGCTGTCTAGAGTTGCTCTTAACATCACTGTAAAAACTTTACAAGTTAAAAACAATTCCGATTAGCTTTAGAGCTCAAAAGCAGATCTCCTGTTCTTTTCTGCACATGACCCTGCTTTGCCCCCAGGACCAGCGGGCAGCACAGGGTAAGGCAGGTCAGAGTGTGGTCTGAGGGCCACGAGGAGAGCTGCCCAGGAGGACTGGGACAGCACAGACACCTGCAATTCCAGACCGGTGGCTGGAATCTCCAAAGACACAGTCCAAGAGTCTACATTTTAACAAATTCCTTCGTGCCCCTTTGCACACTGCAAAGTTTGAGAATGGCTCCAAGGAAAGGCAAAGCTTTCTTTGCTCTTCCTCTCAGCCCTGTGAAATCTGCCCCTCAAGGAAGAAGAGCCTGATTTGAATAAAGGTGAAACCTCCATCAGTATTTGGTGAAGCACCAAACAGAGAGTGTAAGGATATTATTTCGCCCCTTTTCCTTATGCTGCCAGGAATCTTGCCACATTTGAACTCAATTATTGAAATTCCATAGGCCTTCCTGGCTTATATTTTTTAAGTTCTTTTTCCTCACATTCTCAAATTTTTATCCATAAGTCTCCCCGGTTCTCATTTTTCCTTTTTATTTCTTTGCTGCCATTATTTTATTTTACGGTTTTTGCAAGCACTCACGTGCAAATCCTCCGTGGAATTAAATGAGGGATAAATAAATAAACATACCTTGGCACAGATATAATTCCAAGGGGCCATTTCTTGTGTTCCTGCAATGTTTCTTCCCACGCTAAGATCCTGCCACAGACACTGGACCACACGCCTCTGTTTTAGCTTTCCACTGGGAATCTTTTCTCTGAGTTTTTTTGTTTTTTAAGATTTTATTTATTTATTTGACAGAGAGACACAGCAAGAGGGGAACACAAGCAGGGGGAAGTGGGAGAAGGAGAAGCAGGCTTCATGCCGAGCAGGGAGTCCGATGTGGGGCTTGATCCCATGATCCTGGGATCATGACCTGAGCCACAGGCAGATGCTTAACAACTGAGCCATCCAAGCACCCCTGAGTTTGTTAATAAAAGCACCAGCAGTGGGGCGCCTAGGTGGCTCAGTGGGTTAAGCCTCTGCCTTCAGCTCAGGTCATGATCTCAGGGTCCTGGGACTGAGTCCCGCATCGGGCTCTCTGGTCGGCAGGGAGCCTGCTTCCTCCTCTCTCTCTCTCTCTGCTTGCCTCTCTGCCTACTTGTGATCTCTCTCTGTTGAATAAATAAATAAAATCTTAAAAAAAAAAAAGCACCAGCAGCCTTACTTGTGTCCTTGGAGCTCGATGGCCGTTCCTTTTCTCCCACCGATGTCCCACATGATGACAGAGTGATCTGAGCTGCCAGAGAACAACACTCGCTGGACAGGGTCCCAACAGAGAGCAGTCACCCCACCTGTGAGGACAGACACAGCTGGACATTAGTCACAAAGCAACAGTATTATGCACCAATAAATGTGAATGCAAAGGAGTGAGGATCTAGTGCAGTTCTTCTGCTTATAAACAAATAAGTCCCTGAAGTGAAAAAACAAAAAAACAAAAAAAACCCCCCAAAAAGTGGATCCTTCAGCATTTTCCCCCCACATTTAACATACCATAAGATTAATTACTATAAAAACCAAAAGAAAATGAAAAAGGCAGCAAATTGTCAGAAAGAGATGTTATTCAAAGAATGGAAAATATCACACTACTTGCAAATATTACCTGTATTTTCTTAACTTCTAACTACCGCCCCAGTATTTTCTTAACTTCTAACTACCGCCGACAGTAACAGGCAAGAAGTGAACGGAGTTTTAAAAAGCTAGACTGAATTTTCTTATTCTCGAACACAGATACAATTAGACCACAACACCAGAATTTAAAATTTATTTTCTCTCTGTGGGAATTGAAGTTTACAGATTCTAGGTTCATCGTTTATATCCTGAAGTGTCCATTTCCTCAACTGTAAAATGGGGATCACGGCAATACATCTTAACATCTACATACAACTACTACTATTATTAATGATGCTATGGGCCTAGCCCCTGCCTGCCTCACAGGGCTGTGGTGATAATCAGGTTGGATCAATTCTATAGGAGATCTCTGTAAACCACAGCGTGCAGTACACACGTTGGTTATTAGCATTACTCTACTGGTGTGGCTATAAAATATTATGACAGATCTTTCTCTCTGGTAGTCCCTTTATGAATCAAACCCCTGCACGATGAGAACAATATTAACTTTTTCCATTTAGGATGAGCCCAAAGCCTACAAATGCTTAAGAATGGGAGAAATACTCATTTTTTTACATGATTGAAAAATATTATATTCTGAAAAGAACATAAAATAGCATCTTGTTTATGAGAACCTGACATTTTTCTTATTTACATGATCAATTTGTTCTAACAAAGTGCTGTACTTTAAAAGCTTTTAGGAAAGTTTCCTTTTTTTTTTTTTTTTAAGATTTTATTTATTTATTTGACAGACAGAGATCACAAGTAGGCAGAGAGGCAGGCAGAGAGAGAGAGAGAGGGAAGCAGGCTCTCTGCTGAGCAGAGAGCCTGATGCGGGGCTCGATCTCAGGACCCTGAGATCATGACCTGAGCCAAAGGCAGAGGCTTTAACCCACTGAACCACCCAGGCGCCCCAGGAAAGTTTCTTTTACATAATATTCTCAGAAGGGTTTTCTTTCTTTCTTTCTTTTTTTAAGATCAAAGGCGGGGAGGGAAGTCCCACTATTCTGGCTTGTGGTTCATCGCTTCTCGCCATACCTGCACAACATCCTCCCACCCATGTACAAGTAAACAGCAACCACCGCCCCTGCCAATCTAAGCAGTCTGCCCCCTGCCGCCACCTAACGGCACTGAGCAGCATGGCCAGTGGCACACAGGCTCTAGTGTGGTCTCTTGAATGAATGAAGGAGCAGACGAATGAAAATACATTTCTTTTTAATCCACAATTCTCGTTATTTGAAACTCTTCTACTAGACTTACTAATCCTTCCAAGTTAAATACTGTTCCTCCTTTTGTGCACCAACGCTTCTTCGTTCGCTGCTGTTCAACTCAACGATTACCACGTCCCGGGGTTTTAAGTACCCATGGACAACTGCGGTCCTGAAGCAGCTGATCCTTCTTCCACAGGAATCTCAGAAGGCCAGCAGTGGCCTAACACTGTGTCACGGAGCCTACGTCATGCACCTCACACCCTCCCATCATGCAGGCCCCGGATCAGCTCACATCATCCCAAGAAGGGTGAGTGCAGTACAGTAAGGAGACCCCATTCATATAACTTGTATTACAGGAGATTTAAACACAGTATGTCCAGGGCTCCGTATTGTCTGTAGTTTCAGGCATCCACTGGGGGTTCCTGAACTTGTCCCTCGCAGACTGGGGAGGGGAGGGGGAACTATGCTGTACCTTTTTTTTTTTTTTTAACATTCTTTAGTATTTGACAATGTAATACACTTCAAGATGTTCTATCCCGCAACACACGTTATTTATTCCCACACAGTACCCAAGTAACTTACTTGGTTAAATATCCGTGGCAGTGTTAGCCAGCTGTCCGGCTCGAGCCCCACTCCCCGGCCATGAATGGAGTGCTCCCTGGAAAGGTGCTCTCCTGCAGGGACCATATTTATGGGCCCTCTTGTATCTAGGGGGCATGTCACCAGATCTGAGCAACTGAACCCAAAAAGTAATCTGTGTTCCTTCCAGGCCAAGGGGATTAAGATGTCCCTTTTTCACTTTCTCTTTGTACCTACTCTTCAAGGACTCTAAGACTCGGGGCATGGGGAAAACCACATTCTAGAAGGAGTCAGAGTCCCTGAATTACCATATGGAAGAGAGACACCTGCACTGGGTTGTAACCCAAGCAAGAAGTAAGGTGCTTCATTAAGCCATTGAAATGTTAGAAATTGTTTGTTAGAGCAGTTAGCATTAGCTATTAAATGCCATATATTTACTGGGATATACAATGAGACTGGCCCAAGGGGCGCCCGGGAGGCTCAGTCAGTTAAGCGGCCAACTCTCAATTTCAGCTCAAGTCACGATCTCAGGGCCATGAGACTGAGCCCCACGCAGGGCTCCTCACTCAACAAGCAGTCTGCTTGAGAGTCTCTCCCTTTCCCTCTGCCCCTCCCCCTGCTTTGTGTCCCCTCCCTCTAAAATGAATAAATAAATCTTTAAAAAAAAATTAAGGTTGGCCCAAGAGGAAGGTGAGAGTCACCACAGGCTTCATGAGTCAGGAAATAAAAAAAAGTTACTGGTATAGACTGTTAACACTGATGTGTAGTACTTAGAATTGGAGAGGACCCCAGCTGGAAAACCAATGCACCAACCAAAGCAATCCACTGTACACTCTGAATTGTTTTTTTCCAAAAGTGTATCTGAAGTCTAAGCACTTCTCACCACCTCAACCACTACCATCCTTGCATGAACCACTACCAAAATTCTTGGCCTAGAAAATGGAAAAGCATGACACGTATTTTCATGGAACGCCTATGGGGGCAAAAGGCACTCTCATACGTTGCTAATGAGACTCCAAACTAGCGCATCAGGGAAGGCCACGTACAACAAACAACACCTGCACTTGGCTTTTAATCCAGCAATCTCACTCCCAGGAATTTATCTTGAAGATACTGTCCCCATCCCCACGGAGTAATAAGAAGATACACATGCATAAGGAGAATGCTCACAGAAGACAGTGGCGGACTATGGTGCATTCGCTCAGTGTTCTGCAGCTAGGAGAACAACGAACAAGATCACTTAGGAGGACAGCAAGGGATTTCCAGGATACACTGCAAAGTGAAAAAGGAAAAGCACCAAAAAATAGCTACATTGTGCTACCTTTCATCTAAGAAAAAACTGCAAATAAGAAATGAATGAGCTCAGCTACCTTCAGCAGGTGCACAGGAATAGCAATGGAGAGGGGATGAAGCAGAGTGGCACTTTTCTGAGTATATTTTTTTGGTTTGGTTCTGTATTTTGGGACCATATTCATGTTTCACATACTCAAAAATAAGTAAATAAAATCAACAAGGGGTATGTTTGGTGGGGGGGGGGGTAGGGTATGGACCCAAAATAGAAAGATGAACAGAAACTAGTGAACCTAACTGTATTACAAATGAATGATCTGACCACAATGAAGTGGGGCAGGGGGAGAACTGACAAAAGCTACTTTGGAAAACAGTAATTTGACAACACATCCTAAGGCAAAATATAAGATTTGTACACAAATATAGTACTTTATTTAGTAGGTCTGTATATGGGTTATGTAGGTCAGCAATTCTGCAGCTATTCCATGTGTATTTTAGGACTGAGCAAGTAAATACATAGAGGATAATGAGAGCTGAGTTTCTCACTATCATCATAGTTACAGCTGTTGGGGCGGGGGGAGGTTAGAATAAACTCTTTGGTGTTAGAATGTAATTGGAAGCATCGGTATGAACTCACGTGTGTGTACACACACACAAACATAGAAGACACAGAAATAGAGATGTGTGGGGACACACATACATTTCCTAGCTCTGTCTACTGAGAGGACCTAGAAGCTACGATCTTCCTGCCAACGGGTGCACACAGAGCACCCAGATTCTGGCTTCTATATATTATCTATTCTTCAATGAAAGAAACAACGGCTGAATGGATAGTTAATTCTGGGACTGAGGCACAGAGTATGCAAGATGAGCCAGGAACATCATGTGATATCAGAAAGTGAAGAGGGGGCGCCTGGGTGGCTCAGTCGGTTAAGCGTCTACCCTTGGCTCAGGTTCCTGGGATCGAGTCCCTGCATCAGGCTCCTTGCTTCTTCCTCTACCCCTCTCCCCTACTTGTGATCGCTCTCTCTCTCTCATGCTCTCTCAAATAAATAAAATCTTCAAAAAAAAAAAAAAAAAAGGGATAGTCAAAAAGTCACAAAAGCCAGCATGAAGAAGCCAGTGTCCCATTGGTCAAATCTGGGGGACAATTTGAGCAAGAAAATAAGTTGAGTGGTAGTAACAAATTCTCACACATAGAAATAATTAAGAACTCGTGAGCCCATACTGGTATAAACAATGGAAAAAACAAATAAATATGGGGGAGAAGTAAAGTTTTTCCTTATAAAAAAATTCCAACCAAAATTGTAGAAGAGATAATGACTAGAAAAAGCACAATCTGGCAAACACCACAGTCATAATTGTTTCTAGTAAGAGTCATCAATGGAGTCTCAGTGGATAGTAAAATTACTGGACAGAAATATGATGAGAAACAGTATTTATACAGTTTCAAAATACTTCCTCGTAAAATACTTCTGAATTACAAAAGGCTGACTAAAGTGGAGAAACTTGGCAGACACTACCTTAACCAAATGATCAACATTAACATCACCAGAAACAGGATAAATCAGTATCATGTGCCTCTTGACACAATCCACTGAGAA